GGACCCTTGGGGCACCTCGGTGCCAGGGCGCTGCCCGGGGAGAGGACTGACGGGGCGGCGGGCAGCGGGGCGATGTCTAGGGAAGGCAGTGGAGGCGCTGACTGTGCGGCCCTTTTCCGAGGGGAAGGGTCCCGGGAGCCCTGGGGACGCGCGGCCCCGTCGCTCGCGCGGGGCGGAGGGGAGGTGCGCAGCCCTGCCGGCCGGGTGGCTCGGGAATGGCCCGCGGTAGCACCCGTGACCCCGCGGAGCGCCCCGAGGGCCGGGAGCCACGCGGGCAGACGGGGCAGGTCTGTCTCGGCGATCTGCGAGGTCCCTTTCGCCGCTAGAAACCTACGGCCAGGTAGAGAAAAGCGCCTCAGCCGGGCCCTCGCGCCAGCAGCATAAGGCGCTCTCGCCAGAGGCAGCCCAGCCTCGGCCGTGCAGGGGGCGAGGCGGTGACAGGCCTGTGCCTTGCGTGGAGGCTGGGTGCGGTGGCAGCGCGCGCGGGTGGCAGCGTCGGTCACAAGAGCTCTCGGGAGCCGTGTCCTGGCTGCTGCAGCACCTACGTCTGTTGCTGGTACGCAGCTGTGGCGCCCCGTCGAGTGGAAAGCCTGATGCTTTGGCGCTCAGGTTCACAAAGCTGACTCCCACAAAGGCTCTGCTTTGCAGGAACGGTCTCTCTTTTTCTTCTTTACAGAATCCAGCGTGCATTTGCCCCACTTGCAATTGTGGGTGAACCCCCATCTTGGTTGCATCCTGAAGGCTTCCTCCCCAAAGGATACTCCTAGAAAAGCAGGGATCTCAGTGGTAGCAGCTGTTGCCCCCACGACTTACGCTGCAGCAAAACGGGTATCTCCTGCATCCAAAGCTGGTCATGAAGAACACCCAGTAAAGCCAGTGCTCCCAGTCCCTGCTATCAGGCAGACTTCCCTAACAGCAGAGAGAGTTTTCCTGGAGGCTAGTGCATGTGCTGACCCCTATCAAAAGCCAGATGGGGGTGTTTCTGAGGGGGACGTGCAAAGGTGCTCCAGAAAAACAAAGGTATAGTACGTGGGTTTTGTGCACACGGTGAATTTCCAGGTCTGCGAACCGACTGCGTTTTGTGGACTAGCGCATGAGATTCTGCTGTTGCAGCTGGCAGGAGTTCTTGGTAACATTACTATGCAGGTGGGAGGGCATGAGGAGCGGTAGTAGTAGCAGCTCCCGCAATAAGATTCTCTTGCTTAGCCGCTCCAAGGAGGGCTGTGGAGGTTCTTATCTTGTGTGTGTGACCAGAGTCACTTATATGTGCAGCCTCAGAAAGTCCCGTTGCTGTCCCGTGAGGGTAAAGGGAGGGCCACTTAGTTCTTTGTAACCTGAGTTTCCAAAACATGTTGGAGCACAGGGCAGAGGACAGGAGCTCTCTGCTGTGGTGCCAAAGTACAAGTAAAGAGGCAACGAGGTTTAAACACAAGACCTTGTAGCCAAACATCCAGCCAGCCTTCTACATGGGCTTCTGGGAGCATGCCTGAAATTACGCCGAGCACCTCATTCAGGCATGGGACGTGCTATGGTAGATTCATCCTGTGCTGACTTTAGTTTGATGCTCTTAGCAGCAGTCGATGAGTTTCTGACCCTCCCCTTGTTCCCCCTCAAGAAACTGGGCTAGGCTGTTTTGGAGACTAGCAAAATATCTCTCTGACCTTTATGGGAATTTTTGCATGCCAAGTACAGGAATGGATTACATCTAGTTTAAGGGTACCAGCTTGTATTAAAATGTTGGATACAGATCAGAGTTCTATGGTTGTTAAAATGTGGGAAAACCAGAAGATGGATAGGCTCTCCATATCATTGGCATTCAGCAGGGAGAGGGTGGCTGACCAGAAGACTGGAGATTCTGGTGTTTTAATCCAAGCTGAGGAGCTGCCCATATCTCTGATCTCTACTATCTTCTCTAGGGATCCGCATGGATTTAAATGATGTAGAAGCTAAGGGAAGGAAAGAACAGGAACTCAAGGGACACACGAAAGCCATGTCTCTCTCCACCTTTCTGCCGCAGGGTGAGAAAATAGCTATGCGTTTATGATTTCCTGCCAGTTGCAAAAGAATTTGCCCCTTCAATAGGCAAAACGCCAGTACTGGCACTTTGTGCACAGAGCACTGCTGCTAGCTTCTCTCCCTCACTGCAGTCTGGGTATAACCATCAGGCTCTTGCTGGATCTAGCGTGTGTCCTGGAGTGGGTGCCATGTGCGGCACGTGTCGTGAAGTGGGTGGTCTGTGACCTTGCCACAGCCAGTGCCCACTCTGGTCACCCCTTGTCTGCCTGTTCTGAATCCAGTGTGGAGCAGATGCATGCTGGAGCAGGCACCACGTGCAGCATGGTCCTGGAGCAGCCGGAGGAGGCGCTGCATGCATTGCACAGGGCCATCCAGCCCACCCTGCACGCTGCCTGTGGCTCTGCTTGATGGGGCTCTCCAGGCCATACTGCTGACACCCTGGTTTCGTTCACAAGTGTCTGATTGCTGCAGTTGAGCTTACTGTACATCTGAAAAATACCTCTCTGCATGATGCAAGGGCTGCCTGTCATGTGGTGCTGCAGACTCTGCCAAAAGGAAAGCTCTCCTTTGGGATATGGCTGATGTGTTCCACATCTCCTGACACTTACGCGACCAAAGGATATCCAATACCAGGTTCCCTCTTTAACTTAAATCTGTTTATAAAAGGTAAAGTAGCCTCTTTCTGCAGCACCATTTCTTTCATCCCAACTAACTGTTATCTTAGGTCACACTTCCAGGGCTAATAGTGCATTCCAGATGATAATGTTAGATGAGAATAGAAGGCTATGTTGATAAACACATCAGTAGGTGTTAAATGGTTTCAATGGCTTATTCACCTACCTTATCCATTTATTGAAACAAATTTATAAAGGGGACCCTGATAAATAATGTGACCAGTTCCTGTGAATAGATGCTGTCTGATTATTAAAAACTGCTTTTATAGGTGCGAGTGTGCCTTTCAAACCTGCACTGTGAGCTGTTGCCTTATTTCTCCCAAGTATTCATTAGGCCCTAGCCATGAACAGCACTCTTAAGGCTGTTAAGTAAAGTCCTTTCTTCCTTAATTCCTGCTGTTTTCAGATTTGTGTAATATTGCTTTTCTGGACCCCCAGCTGAAACAAGATCTACATTTCCTGGCAGGGAAGCAGGTGGGGTGGTACAAGTTGTTTCAGTGTTAATACACTGAAGAAGCAAAAAATCAGTAACTCAGCTTTATTTTCTTAGGTTGCCTTTAGGAGTCTCTCTTAGCTCTAGTTCAAGAGAGACAGCAAGGGAGAGTAGCACCATACATTAGTCAGTGTGCAAGCCCAAAACACAAGGACATTAGGCGCATGGCAGCTAGATCCTTACTGAGTCTTGCACTGTAAGTGTCTGAACGTGAATTCCTGAACTTTGCTCCAGACACCGCCTCTTGCTCAGTGTGCTCAGCTCGTAGCCATTTTACCTTGACAGTGTGTTACAGAACACAAGGCACAAAACGGAAATAAAAACGTGAGCAATAGATTCTTGCTATCATCCCCCGTTCCTGTACAGAGGGCCCCTTCCCACAAAGAGAGAGGGTTGTATAGAAAAGGTGAGAAATTGCAGTTGGATTGAATGCCCTGAGATTCCAACACGATAGGCAGCTTAGCACTGTTCTCCCTTCAAAGAAAAAACTGCTTATCTAGTGGCAAATATTGATCATTGGAATAATGTCCACCTGCTGATGGGAAAAGGATGGAAATCCGGTGCTGGCTTTCCTGCTGTCCCAGGCTTTCCATTGAAAACATTGTCACATGCATCCAGGCTTTTTGTCTCTGTAGCTGGGAGTCACTTGCTTAGGGCAAGCTGTTGAGGACTTGCAGAGCCCGGCTTTGGCCGCTATGGAAATAGGGGAAAGCCAGATGCGTCCCTTGCAGGTTGGGGGGTGAAGTCACTAGAGTTTCCGTTCACAGTTAGCCCACCCTTCTACAGCTGCTTAGAAGTTGACTGTAGTAGCACTTGGGGAAATAGGCCTGGTTGAGAACTGTGTGATCCGTGATCCATGTCTCGGTGGTAGCCGACCAGTAGGGATCATAGACAGAACAGAGATCTCATCAACTCTGCAGAGAGTGAGAATGGGGAGAAAGTTGATGGCTAAAGTCTAAGGCCACAACCAATGCCCTGGTCACTGACTGCATCATTAAAAATCACTGTTCTACTCTTGCTGCCCATCAGGATCCTGCTCTCAAGATCACTCTGCCACCAGCAAAAGCTTGTTCTAGCGATGTGAATGCTGCTTACATTTCTCTGTGGGAGTTTTCTGTCGCTCGGTGTAAAAGAGGACAGGTCTTAGGCAGCCTGGGTTAACTTTCATGTAGATTAATTTTTTCACCCCTGCCCCAGCCAAATGTATCCTCTTCTGGTGGTGCCCTGGCACAGGTTCAGTTCAAGTGCTATGGGATCCAATCCCGATCCCAGCAGTAGTGCCTCCTGCTATGCCACACGTGCATGAATCTGGGATCAGATCCTGCGTGCGCCCTTTCTGCTTGCTGGCGCAGGGGAAGCTGGGGGTCCTAATTCAAAGCCAGGTGCCTGCAGCCCAGTGTGACCCAGGACTGCCCTGGGGCAGCTGACTGGCCTCAGTCTCAGACAGTCCCAGATTTGTTTACCTGGGGTTGTTCAAGCTGACAATCGGCTGTTTGTCAGCCCCAGCAGTGTAAGTCCTTCAGCTCCCCCTGCCGGGAGCCTCTCATCCTGCGCACCCTGCAGCCCTGCCAGCACCGCTGTGTGCAGGATTTAATATCCAGGTGAGGAAAGCCCTCTGACTGTAGATAGACTAAAGGGCCTGAGTCTATTCAGCCTCCACAGGAAAAGACTGAGAGGGGATCTGGTGGCCATTTATAAACTCACCAGGGGGGACCAGCGGAAAATAGGTGAGGCTCTGTTTCCCCCAGGCGCCACCTGGGATAACAATGAATAATGGCCACAAATTGATTGAGAGTAGGTTCAGGCTTGATATCAGGAGACATTACTTTACAGTTAGGGCTGCCAGGCTCTGGAATGGGCTCCTGAGGGAGGTGGTTCTCTCCCCTACCTCAGGGGTCTTCAGGAGGAGGTTGGATAGATATCTGGCTGGGGTATTATGATCCCAGCACTCGTTCCTGCCCAGGACAGAGGGTCGGACTTGATGATGATCTGTTCAGGTCCCTTCCAACCCTAGAAACTATGATTTGCCGCCCCTCTTCCCCACGAGGTATCTCCGGGCTGAGTTGGAAAACCAGGCCTGCCCTGGCGGCGGTACCTACAATGAGCTTGTTGGGTATCAGCTCCAGGGAGCCCGGTGTGCAAACATGCCGCTTGTTCAATTTCTAGCGCCACACAAATCGGCCATAAAAGTGTTCTGTAGGTAACATTTTTATAGCTGGCTTAATATTTCATGGTGCCTTAAATTGGGTGTATACGTAACAGCTTTGCTGTGTGTGCTGTGATTAGTGCATTGATTGTGGCATAAATGTAAGGTGTAGAGGGGCCCTAGCGTGCCTCCAAACTCTTAATGGTGGAGCAGAGCACAGTGAAATGGTGTGTAAGAGGTTTCTGGTGCCTTGTCAAGTGCTGGGGGTAGGAAGACGGTTCAGACAAGGGGGAGCACGAGTGGCTCATCTATTCAAAGGGAGGATGGTTCCACGCAGCAGCCCCTCTCCTGGCTTCGGTTAAAGCTTGTCTTTGTCAGCCATTCAGCCTAGCCTGCTCTCTGCTCCTTCCCTAGGGCCCTCCACACGCAGATGTGGCCCAGTTGCAGCTCCCTCACAACAGTCTCCAGAGACTGCTGCTCTTGCCTGGACCGCTCGGACAAGAATTGCTCCCTTTGGACTGTACCTGGTTCGTTCATGCTTTGGTGCACCAAGTCGAGAGCCTCCGTGGGTAGAGCCTGCATCTCTTCCTCAAACTTCCTGCGTCCGTCTGCGGTCAGCTTCCACAGGCGTGCCTTGCGGTTCCCCTCTGTGCACACAAAGCGGGTGGTTTTCTCGAAACTGCTGCTGAAGCACAGGTTGTGTCGAATAGTGTTTTTCCAGCCATCTGGGGCTGTCTGGAAGAATGGGAAGTGATGCCTGCAGGGAGAGGAGAAGGGCACAGGGCTGAGCTCAGATGCTGGCTAAACTGACTGCTCTAGTAGGAGGTTGAGCATTCTTACCTCCACCACAATGCAGAAATGGCCAGGTGTCATGTGGGTATAAAAAAAAAAATGGGAGAGGTTCTTGCCTGATCCCTGTGTAATTAGGCTGTGCCCTGAAGCAGGAGGTTCAGCTGGATCAGTGAAAAAGCAATATTCATTCTTTCCAGGGGGCAGTACCAAAATGCCAGCTCTGGACATACCTGAGCTTGGGCATTTAATTGACAAGTCCTTGCATCCTCACTCTCTAGTGGGAGCAGAGAGGAAATCACACAGCGAGCCACGGGGCAGAGCTGAGAACAGACCCCAGAAGTCCTGACCTCGTTCAGGTTCTGACCTTGAGGTCCTGCTCCTTCCCCAGTAACAGGCAGGATGGTTTTGTAACCCTGCCCCTGAACACCCCACCTCCACATCCCAGCACTGGAGAAGTTGGGAGGGCGGCAGGTACCGTGTGAATTGGTAGATCTGCTGCACAGTCAGGCTGCCCTCTGCACTGTTGTACAGGGCCAGGGTGATGAGGATGCAGTAATTAAGGGGGGGGCGAGGCCAGATCTCCTTGGTTTTGGCCTTCGCCTGCAGGGTGTACTTGAGCTTCCTGCTCTGAGACCTGGAGACCTTTGCTTTCCAGGGTGCCAGGTTCGCCTTGAATTTGGGAGCTTCCACCATCTTCTGAGAGAGTTGGATGTCTACAGATGCAGCATCTTCATCCTCAGTAAACTTGGGGAAGAAGAAGAGCAGAAGGGGTGATGAGGAGATATTGGCATTGGGTGGGTAGGGTCAGGAGGGTGAGCAGAGAGCTGCATCGATGGCCTGTATGTAACAAATTGGGCAGATCTTTGTTCAGTTCCCAGTGGATGAATTTGCAGCACAAAGGGGGCCCCTTATTGGCAGCTCCAGCCAAGAGGCTAAATACAGAATGGGCAAATGAGCCTTCTCCCATGTCAGGGCTCAAGCGCCGCTTGCTGTGCCCCTGCCGTACGGCATGGGACGATGCCAGTCTCCATTCCAGCACCAGACACCACTCATAAATTCAACCTGTTCATCCCGGCAGAGTGCGTTCTCTGCACCCTGCTGGCATGGACAGGTATGCTCACACAGCGGAGCAAGAGGCAGCTCAGTGCCGCTGCTGGATGCATCGTACGCATACCAGCAAATATAGAGCACGTAGATTTACAACAGTATCTGGGCAGCTCCCTTTTGCCACATACCTTCTCTGCCTCACTGGCTGATGACAGCAGATCCTCCTCTGAGCAGTCAAGGTTGGAGTAATCCAAGGAAGGGCTTGGAGATGGAAGGCTTATGGCGGCAGCAGCTGTTGAGGACAAGAGACTCCTACCTTCCGTCGCATCTGTGCCCACATGCCTTGCAGTGGGGCAGGCCGCATTAGGGTTCACCCACATCCACAGATGAGGCTGCACATTTGATTCTGCAGAGAAAAAAGAAGCCAAATAACTTGGGAGCACCAGCAAAGGCCTCAACAGCAGACAGGACTCCTGCCTCCCAGGAGCAGGGCTGGGACCCTGACCCCAACATTTTGCTTGGCCTGGGATGGCTAATTTCCCTCCTCCTGGCAGTACCATTCACTGCATATAGCTTTCCAGCAGTATCCAGGCAGCTCCCTTCTGCCACGTACCTGCTCTGCCTCACTGGCTGATGCCAGCCAGTCCTTCTCAGAAGAGTCAAAGTTGAGTTGCTTGTGCTGTCTTCCCTCCCCAACTGTGTGGCATCTCACCCCAGTGCTAGGGATGGGTTTGGCTCAGCCACCCCCGAGCCTCGAAGCAGCTCTCCTCTGGATGTGGGCTCTGTGACGGGTAAACCTCTACAACAGGCCAAGTGAAACGGCCTGCCTTCATCCCTCCCCCAGGATAATGCTGGGGTCCTGGCTCACCATCAGGAGGCGCATCAGACCGTTCCCTGGGGAGTGATTGCCTGCATGCCTGCTGGTCACACTGCCATTTCAGCATGTGGTGGTTTGCTTCCTTGACAGCAGCTGGTGAACAGCAGAGGTTCAGAAACAGTGTGGTCAGCTGGTGGCATTGACACCCGTTTCCCCTCCCTACCACACGCGCACACCTGAGAGCTTGGAGATGGATCCTGGGTCTGTTTTGCATTGAGAAATGAAAGCCCTTTTTCTGCATCATGCTGGGTCCCCAGGGCTTGGGCTATACACCACAAAACACCCATCCTGCGGTGGGGATGTGCTGCGGGCCTAAGGACTATACTCTGGGACCAAACCCAAGATGACAATGTGGACCTCAGCCGCGTTTCAGCATTTGGTGGGTGGGTTAGTGAAGGGAACGGGTGGGCTTGCCGTTGCATACAGTGATGGCATATGTATTTTCAACCAAACTCGGCAGCAACATATAACTCATGCAGTGGGTTCTGGATCGTCTAAAGGAGGGCAGGCTGGCAGTGAAAGGAAAGGTGAAGTGGGGATTGCAGAAGTGTCAAATCTGGGACACAAGGTGGGAAGCATCAGATCAAATCTTAGCTTGCTAAAATCAAAGCTGTCCAAGACTGGCCTGTTCCTCAGGTGAAAAAGCAAGCCTGATCTTTCACTGGGATGATAGAGTATTACTGCCAATTTTAGTATCTCACTTCAGTATCCTAGCAGCTCCCATCACAGAACTGTACAAGAAAGGTAAGCCAGGTAAGGTGGTCTGGACAGCAGACTCCCAGAGAATTTCTGTTTCCTAAGAGATGCCTTAGGCTAAGACCCAGGGTTAGCAAATCCACACTTTGACAAACCATTTGCCTTGGTTGGAGCCTGGGCCGGGAGCAGTGCTAATGCAGAGAGATCTTGGGGGGGGCCGGGAGATCCCATTGTACACCTAAGCAGAAAACTGCTCCCCTGGGGAAAAAACTATAAAAGTTGGGGAGGAATGTTTAGCCATTGTGTGGGCTCTTGAGAAGTCACAGCAGTATTGGGGAGAATGCTAGTTCCAGCTCTTTTATTGCAAGATCCAAAGTCCTGAAAGTCCCGAGAATTTCTTTAGGCTGGCACAATGCTCTCACGTCACTAGAGAGATTTAAAAATTAAAATGGCTAAAGCAGCAAATCATAGGAATAGAACTTGAGGCAGGACTGGACCGTCACTGCACTGGAGGGGTCCTAAAAGGGGTGCTTCATTTCCAAGCTCTGTGATTGCAGTTTCAGGATTGAAGTGGAGTTTGGAAAACAAGCTGTTCTAATTAGCACAGTACTGGAGATGTGAGCCCTAGCGCAGTCAGTGGTGCTAGCTCCAGCATGTGCCAATACTGCTTCTGGAGCTCTCGTTGGAGATTTTTGTCTTGTTGGGCTGGCCTTGCCAGCTCCCCTTGGGATCTCCCAGGTCTCAGAGCATTTGTTGTTAATTATTCACTCGTTCTCAGTTACCGGAGACTGATTTTCACTTGCAGCTTTTCCCTCAGAATTCTTACCTTGGGGGAACTGATCACAGGTGTTGGTCAGTTTGAGCTCCTCTTCCATATCCCAGTCTTCAAGGCCACTCTTGAGATGCAGGCTTTCCCAAAATGTGTTTTTCTTGAAACTCAGGAACACTGTATTAGAATCTACTGTTGCCATGCCCCTGGAAGAATGTTAGCAGGGCTGAGCCCAGTGCGCCCTGCTGATTTATAACAACTCTCTAATTCTGCTCCTTGGGCCTGTAGCTCATTAAAGAAAGTGAAACATTGGAGCCAGGTGAGAGAGAGGCTGGGCCCTAGTTCACACATCTGAATACCTATTAAAGATCTCCCCAAGGGCTTTGGGATTAGTGTCAATGGCAGCAGGTAGTCTACGTGAGAATAAAAGCGCTGTCACTGCCTGGGCTTTGTTGTCTACCCTTTTAGACTGAATTCTTGGTAAGTACCTGGCTCCTAAAGCTGTACTGACACTTAGTCTAAGGTTTTGCTTGGAATTTAAATGCAGTGGAATTTATATCGCACACTTGTTTTATCCTGTCCTGGACTGAGACTACTGTTTCTAATACAGGGTGGCTCACGAGTCAGTGGGCTGTATGGTCTGGGACCCCTAAGTGCATTTGGGTAGAACTTGGCAGGCCAAAAGGGTTTTGGGGTGACAGAGACAGGAAATCTCTGCCTCTGTTTCTAACCAGATTCATCTCTCCCTTTTCTCCACGTTCTAGCTTGAGCCTCTCACCTCCTTCTCCTCAAGAGAAAAATAGAGGACATAAAGGCATCTGGTTTTGTATCAACAGAGGACAGGACAACAGGACTGTCCTCTACGATGGCCACCCTACAACAGCTCCAGCCCTGCCCAGCTCCCTCCCTCCGTACCTGTGGGGGCCTCAATTCCCCCTGCCCCCACCTGCAGGCTGCTGGGCGGCCACGTGGCACCCCTGCCTGACAGCCCTCCTCCCGCTCCTCTCGGCCCCTTGCGGGCTGGAACTGCCAACCTGCAGAGAGCTCTTTGCAGAAGTGGGAAATCAGTGTGTTTCTCCATTAAAACAAAAAAATCGGTGTTTTTCTCGGTTTAAAGGGAAAATCTGTGGGGGTTTTCTGTGGGAAACGCTAAACCCAGATTCCTGGTGATGAAACTAAGTTGACTGTTTTTGGTGATTTAGAAATAAACGTTGCGAGTGACAGTGAGCCACCGGCCAAACTTTTATGAAACCGGTGTCAAATACTTGGCTCGCCTTTGGGTTTTCATTTGTAGCGAAGGTTCAGGATATGTCTTGCCAACTACCAGCATGCACAAAAGCAAACCAGGTAGGCGTCCTTTTCAACAGAAGATTATGTTTTAATGCCTTTTGGGATGCCGTCCTTAGGTGCAGAAGAAAGAGGAGCCCCTTGCAGAAGATAAACTTCATGCACATATGATGTATTAGTGCTCAAGGGAAAGCATGTAGACCAAAGAAATGAGAGAGGAGGTGAAAGCACAGACAACACACTTAGCCCTTGCTCTAAAGAGCGTTTTCCCCACCATCCCTTACGAGGAACAGTCCAGCGTGCCCTTGCTCTTCCCAGACGCTGCAGCCAGCACAGGTGCTACAATAACTAATGTCTCTGCAGGAGCCCAGTGGGATGGGGACTTACGCCGCACAATGTTTTTCTAAGCTCCCAACCAGTGAAGCTGTGCCAGGAAAGCTTTGCAGTGTCAGCTTGGCCAAGCACTTTGTTTAAACAGAGGATACAGTGTTAAAGGTCACGTGCATCACAGAGGAATGGATTTGTACCCTATGTTTACTACTTTTAATATCCACAGAGCAGGGCTGAAAGTTTTGTAGGGCTTTGCCTTAATTTTTGTTTGGCTTCTGTGTTGGGCATCTCAGGAATGGCAAGCTGGTTTGTCCTGTTTGTGACTGAGGGACTCTTCGGAAGAAGCAGAGGTTTGACCTAGCATCTCTGTCCAGCCCGCATCAAAGAGAGGAGGGGCTGAACCCCTAACATACACCTCCTCTTCAGGAGTCCTAAGGTATCAACGGGGGTTAACAATGACAGTTTGAAAGGGTCCAAATCCTTCCAACTCCCCGCTCCCTCCCCATTGAAATCTCCTGACACTTTACACACAGGCAAGGCCTTAGTAAGTTAAAGCCACGCTGCTCTGACCTTAACTGCGCACGGCTGCTAGCTTGGGTAGATTATAACAGCGTTTGTACCAGGGTGGCGTGGCTTGTTCTTGTATATGAGGGGGAACCATTGGGACCACCATTTCTCAACCTGTGGGTCGTGACTCAAAAGCGGGTTGCAAGAATATATGAATGGGTTATGAACAAACTTTAAAAGTGGATTCTTCTTTTAGAGGAGAAAAATGTGGGAGACTGGGTTTTCCCTTGCAGGCTGGCAGAGTTCCAGCCTGCAAGGGGCTGCTTGGGGCCTGCCTTGCCCCACACACTGCAGGGCTGGGGCAGGGGGGCCGCAGGTCGGGCACGAGGGCCCATGGAGCTGTTTTCTACTTAAACTATTTACTGGGTGGGGACTGGCCATCAATGTTTACAAATGGGTCCTGGTACAAAAATGGTTGAGAGCTACTGATCTTGACCATCATAAGGCACCTTAAATGCAGTGTTCCCACTTTTACCATGCTGACTATAGCAGTGTAATTATTTTGGTAACCTGCCCTCCAACCTCAGTACAGTACAAAATGTGCGCACAGACCAGATGTTAAAATCCTGCTTGTTCTCCAATCGTTCCCAGGCCTCCAGAGCAAACGGGGCAGCCAAGGCCTGAGCTTCTAAGGTAACAAACAAGGAGGAAAATACTTTACTTTACAAGGAAGGTTATCCAGGCGTTTCTACCCACAAGAAACAGAAACAAAAAGAAAAGAGGAGGTAGCGGCCAGACTGTGCTCCTTTGCAGGTCACCCTCATGAGTTCTCATGGCAGCGTGACTCTGCAGGGGAAGCCGCTGCCTCGGCGTGTCCAGGCAGTCCTGCTTCACTTGCATCTTGTGATTGCCAGCATGGCAGTGAGGCCAGCAACCAAGACAAACATGGCGATGGAGAGGAGAACTGTGATCACCACCATTCCTCCGCTGCGTGACATGTCCACAGGTATGCTTCTGTAATCCATTCCTGAGGGAGAGAGAGCCCAGGGCACCTATGAGGCAAGGGGAGAGGGAGCAGACATGCCTGCCACCTCAACGCAGCTGAGACCCATTACACTGCCCTCCCTCCTCATCTTCAGTCTTCAGCCCTGCAGAGCATGAGGCTGCAGGACAAATGGAGAGGTAGAATCTGAGGCTGTTACATGGCTTGACTTGGATGCAAGCGTCTTACCAGGTGCATGGATTCCCCGAGTAGGAGGAGGTGTGCGGCCCCCGTGCTTTGGGGGCTGGGGCTGTGCTCCACACATGGGAGAACTCTGTGGTTCAAGCCAGCTGCTGTCTTGTCCCTTGCCTGGTAGTTTGGCCAGACCAAGTCAGTGGTTTCATTACAGTAGGCAAAGCAGCGTTACTTACTATGCAAAGTGCCCATGGCAATGCTGTTGCTTTTGGATACAGAACGGTCTTTGTTGAAGACGGAGTAAGAAATGCTGTGGAAGAAGAAACAGGAATGAAACCCTCTGTCACCTGGTTCTACCAACACCTCTCTAGTTGGCTTCCTGAGTGTTTCTCTGAACCTTGGACTTTCTGAATTGGCAAGAAGCTACTCCACACAGTATCTGCTCTGCATAAGCAGACTTGCTGAGCTCTGGTGGAGGCCTGTAGGCAAGACCCCAGCCATGCAGTGCTGTGCCAGCCAGAGACCCATTTGGGGGCTGACTTGCATGTTCTCACCCGTACACGAGTGGCACTGCGGCTGGGGGGGAGGGGGGCTCCTTCCTCCCCTGTCTCACTTGCTGTTACTGGACTCTGCCAGGTCTGGCAACTCACGTGTACGTCTGTCCTGGAGTCAGTCTTGTGATCTGGTAAGCATCCAGTCTGGTCACAGTGAAGCCCCCAGTGCTGTCCACCACGCTGACGAGCTCACGCCTACCACGGCACAGGGGCACAGTGAAGTGCCTGACGTCTGACATGGGGAGAGGCGGAGTGTTTAAAACCCAGGAATTCCTATAGCAGGCCTGGGAAGAGGTCACCTCCAGGCACATGAGCAAAAGGGCTGCGCGTGTGATTGGACATGTGTTGTGGGTTGCAAAGGCATGAGGTGGCATCTGCCTTAGCTGGGTTGTGCTGTATCCCAGAGACTCTTCCTTCAGTCCCTGGTTCTGTTTTAGGGTGGCATGGAGTCGCACCTCCTGGGGTCTGAGATTTCTTGTGCTAAGGACGCCACTGCTCTTGCCTCTGGAGCCCTCTTCCCTCCTAGAGCTGCACGAGAATGCAGCAACCCTGACCCTGCTCCCTGCTTTAACCACTAATCCAAGCGGCTAAAACTTCATTCCAAATAGTCGCTGCACGGAGGGCCCTGGGGCCGTCTGGGGAGAAGGGCTCAAGGTATTGTTTGCTGGAAGAAGGCATGTCACTGACCTGTGGTTCCATTGGGATGTATGATGTGGATGCTGGCATTTGCCCTGGTGAATTGGCATGGGGGCACTGCCATTAGGAGGCTCTCGGCAAATGCTGGTGAGAGGACACCAGAGAGACTGGAAATGTTGAAATCTGAAAGCAAATGAAACTGGATGGATGTCGGCCTACAGTGCCTCGTGATAGACTGCTCTGGCTGCCTGCTGCTGCGCAGGTTCCTCGGCCTGGCTTCTGCCAAGTTCCTTGCCTGCTACATGCCCACCACCCATAGGAAAGACTTCAGATGCTGGGGTTTCTTGCAAAGTCATGTCCATCGAACACCCCACCATAGCAATTCCCAGCTTTGAGACCTAGTCTGGACTCTTTTCCCTGGGTCAGGCCCAGCTCTGAGCACTTATTGCCCCATCAGTTCCCTCAGATACATTCCTAGTGTTGTCTCTGACAAGGGTGTTGACCACAAATGCGGAGTAACTGAAGGTGCTTGGGCAGCCCTCCAAGAGCAGCAGGAGCTAGGCTGTGGCAGGAAGGTGTGTGTGGCACAACTACAGCTAGTTCCTCCAAGGTCAGGGCTGGGGCAGCTCAGAAACAACGGCTGGAACAGGGCATTAAAGCAGGGGAGAGTTTCAGGCTGCCCAGAGATCCTGGACATTGTAGGTGCACAGAGGAAGGCATTTGGTTAGTGCCAGTCATTGGCAACCCGGGTTTTCACAAGAAGTCTGGGACATTTGGGACTCTCCCCTTTCCAATGCATGTCTCAGGATGAAAGGACTTCTTTCTGCCATCTACTTCTATTAGAGGCTGGTAATGGGGTGCTGAACTTTTTGCCTTGGGTCTAGTCCAGTGCAGATGGGGTAGTGGCCAGGATTTTACCTCTGGCCCATGGAAAAGAAATTCTTGACCCCTCTTCCAGGGGTTGGTTGTTTCCCAAATGCCCCCAGGTGAATTCAGTTCCCTTCCCACTGGCAGTCTCAGCTGGAGGCTCAAGAAGTCGGGATAGCTGAGCCTCCTGCTGAAACAGCTCCCTGCAGAGCAAAGGATCTGAATGGGCTGGGGTGGAGGCGGGGTTGGCTGAAGCAGTTCAGGTTGTGTTAGAGGCAGAGGGGGCTTGTGAGACTTACAGGCCGTAGGTAGCTCTGCGTAGACCGCATGCACGTGCAGCTCCGCTGGGGAGTGGACCGGGAGTGCTAGACAAGCAGCTGTGCCCCAGAGCTAGTGCTGCAGCCAAGGGCTGTCAGAGTGAGCTGCCTGCCGGAGCGGGGCTGCGATTCCTCTGGGATGTTGCGAACCCAGCATTCATTCCTGCCTGTGGCAGGGGGCCAGGCTAGATGCTCTGTTCGGGTCCCTCCTGACCCTAGCTACTACGAAACTTGGGAGAACTGATGCATGCCGCCCCCGCAAATTGATCTTGAGCATCTGGGAGTGTCTGAAAGCAAGGGGGGGAGTTGCAGGCTATCTTCTCTCTGGCCCCACAGTTTTCCAAGAAGGACCCCGGTTAGGGGGGGATTTCCTATAACAGGACCCCCTGGCTTTGACACTGGGTGAGGACCCCTCAGCCCTGCACTGTATAGAAGCAGCATGGATGTTCCCAGGAAAAGTCCCATTACTGTATATATGCCTGCGGTGACTTCACTGACTTCACTGTCCTTTTATCTTTGCTTCCCTGAGCTGCAAGCCAAAGGTTACTGCGGGTGTGTGAGATTTGCCCCAAAGCTGTGCGAGGCATGTGGAGCCTTGTTGGCTGCAAAGGTTAGGACTGGAGTACAAACAGTTAATAGCTGTAGCATGATCTTGATCTGAAGGCCAAGTCCTGCAGGTGAATAGTTGCAAGGCTGGTAACTAGGTGTCAAGCAGCCATAAATATGGAGCACCAGGGCCTGGGTGGGGCTGATGTCACCCGGCAGAGGAATGCCCCTTCCCTGTGGGGGGCGATTAGCTCCTGTAAAACACCTCTTACTCGGCAGACTGCTGGTTAAAGATGCAGCTAGTCCCCAGCACTGCTGGGTATAGTGATATCTCCATTGTGCCCTTGCGGAAGGAGATCCTGTGTCCTGCCCCAAGCGCCATAGTGGAGCCGTAGCAGGAGGGAGGACCAGAACCAGGAGTTTTGGCTTTCGCCCTCCGCTCTGCCTTGCAGAGGTGACGGGTCTGAGCCAGCTTTGGGACGTCTTGTCATCTACTACCCTCTAAGCACTTACAAATATGTTCAAAATAGCGATAGCTGTAATGCTGGCTCCTGCCCTCAAGTCCAGGCAAGGACTGATGGGCCAAGTAGGGCAGTGGGGGGGCTAACCTGTTTGGTAGCGGTCCCATGAATTAGACTCTGCCTCCAAGTGCCACTCTGATCCCGTGCCCTGCCCAACCTGCTGGATACCACACAGAGGCTACCCATGCCACAGGCTGGCTGCCCCCGCTCCAAGGGCACCCACCAGACCGCTGTCCACAAGCGAGCTGGCCAGAGCATTCGGGTGCTTCCTCTTCAGCTTAATGACAGTCAGCCTTTGCAGCACCACCTGCCTGAGGACCTCAGCCCCGGTAAAGCAGCGGCGGGCGGGCAACCTTTCCAAGCCACGTCCTGGAGCACCCCACGTCCGGTCCGAGTGCAGCAGCAGTGGGAGAGCGGGGTGCTCTGTCTGCGCTGGGGCCAGGCAGCTGGGAGCTGCACCCATGCTGCTTCTACTTCCCCTGCCCACTTGCTCCTTATCTGGGGCGTGACCGTGGGGAGCAGCTCTGGGGCTGGGCAGCTGGGAGCTATGTCCACGCTGCTGTGCTGCAGCTGGGAGGTGGGGAAGGAGGAGCAGGCCCTGGTGCAGCTGGATGGGAGCCAGGGCATGGGAGGAGAAGCAGTGCTGGCAAGGGTGCATCTGGAAGTTGCCCGGCCCTGGTGCAGTTTCCCACTACTTAGTCCCAGAACAGGAGCAGGCATAGGCAAAGTCTAGGGCTCTGTGGGCCAGATCCAGGCTACGGGCTGTATGTTGCCATCCCCTGTATTAAACAAGTTACCCTGTCAGGCTAGGGCCTTGCCTGTATCAGTCAGAAGGCAAATAAGGGGTACAAGTCAGTGGCAGAACTAAGCCTGAAACCCAGGAATGCTTCTCCCGCTGCTAGTCACTCCTATTTCCTCCCTGCGGCACCCCTCCCCATCTCCTGGCCGCCCCTTGGTCCTAGCTTCAGAAACCTGCAGAATCCAGCGGCAACCTTCCAGGTCTGGCAGTCCGGGGAAAAGAGGGGAAGGAGAGAGAACCTGCCGTCTGTGTCCCCCCGAAGAATGCGCAGAAGGTCAGAACAGCCAGCGCCGGCATTGCAAAGGCAGAGGAGAGTGCGCAGAGGTGACGGCAGCGGGCTGGATGCTGCCCTGGATCAGACCGCCTGGGAGCGTCTGAACTGGCACGTCCTAGGTGAGTTTCACCTGCTTGGGAATTGGCCAATGAGAGCAGCCCTGCTGAAAACCAGTCTGACCAGACAGCCCCCCCTCCCCGTGCACGCCAGGGTCCCCACCCCGGGGATTCCAGAGAGGCTTTACGAGCCTGTGGCTCAGGAGTTGGGGCTCCTCTTCCAGCAGGTGCACGTTCCCCTGCCTTGTCCTGTGCTGGCGTTAGGGACCTGGGCTTTCAGCAGAGCTGCGATTTGGATGCTTTGACAGGGCAGCCCTCTCCTTTTTGAACAGCTGCTCCCTGCAGCATGTGTAGGAGGGGCAGGCAGGAGCAATGGTTGAACCCAGCTATGTCACGGAGGATGGGCTTTGACAGGTAGCAGAGAAAGGAGGAGACGATGGGATCTGGCCTGGGTTGTAATGCAGCTGTAAGAGGAGGGAGGTTGTGTTTTCCATAGGAGCGCTGAGGTGGACAACACGTGACTGCAGAGTGGCTGTGGTTGAGATCCAGAGTGAGCACTGTGAGTACCGGGCCTTGGGGTGCATAGATACACGTCAGGTGTAGCACCTCTCTCTCCTCGTCTCTCCCCCGCCTGTCTGGGAGAGCCCGGCATCGGTTGGAAAGGTGTGCCAGATTCCTGAGGTCTGGCCCTGGAGTTAGGGGACTGAGACTGTCAGGGCTGAATGTGGTCCAGGAGCTCCTCTGGCTGCACTTACCAGTCCCAGAGCCCCAGAAGGCAAGCTTAGAGCCCTGACCTGAGGTGCAGTTAACCTCACCAGGCATTGATTCAGGTGCGGCCCCTGCCCCAGAGAGCCCGTGCTCTCAGCAAGGCTGTGGGGGCTTTTGGGGCAGCCTTCTGTAGTAGCTGGTGTGTCTCCCAGGCTGCCTCAGGTGCGAGGTCCTATTCCTCCGTCAGGCTTCAGTCCCGTGACCCTGTGCATTGCCACTCCCTATCTGCTGTTGCTTCTGGAATGCAATAAAAGAGACACAAAAGGCATTTTGGATTCCAAACACGACCGTTTGTGGGAGCAGTTGCCTGAGACTGTGTCCGACTTCAGGTGCCTGTGTGTGGGTGCGTGTGGATGCCGTGGTACGTGTATTTGCATCCTCACACACCTCTGTACACCTGTGTCTGTATGGGCGTCCACACTAAGCCAGTTACGCTAGGGAAGCTGAGTGAGACACGAGTCTTGCCCTGTTTCTGACAGCAGTGAGACCCTCTGTTTCCTCCTCTCTGGCTAAGAATAGATCCAGCTCCTGACAAAGTTCTGTCTCAAGTTTCCCACGTTAGTCTCATTTCATTTTCCAGGCGGGGTTTCTGCTATGTGGGGGACGGGGGGTGGGGGAAAAGTGTCTGTCAGGTAGCTAGGGCTGATTGCAGGGTGGGGGTGATGAACTGCAGGACAGAGACCTTCAACTGGGCTTCGTTCCATGTGGCATAGTTCAGAGAGCAAAGGGTCATTGCAGTATTTCCCCGATCACAGCTCAGCTGGACTGCTGCATCATATGCCAGTTATGCTTTTTCCAGGAATGTGGTTTCGCTCCTAGATACAAGGTGCAGAGGCCACCACTGAAAGACATGAGCATGTGGACCAGCATGGCCAAATGAGGCTTAATCGGCTCCCCAGCAGCGTCACGTAGACGGGAGAGACCTGTGAGACTCTTAGTGATATCAGTGTCTTGAGAATGGGGGAACGGTTCCCTAGGATGGCCTCAGCATTTGGTCTGTGAGGAAGGAGCTGAGCCATGTCAGGGCATTTCTGTCGCCTCTTCAGGTGTCTTGTAAGCAGATGTCACAGGACAAGAGTGGACAGGGATTACTACACAGAATCAGGATGCCCCAAGGTGGCAAGTTTTGCAGGCTGCTTCGTAGTGTAGGGAGGTGGGATCTGGGTGGTACAGTGTGAGGTGGTGACTGCTGGTTAGGTTGTCCCCTGCACCAGGTTGCTCCTGGCACAAGCTCCCTGGCTGGCCGTGGCCCCCTGTGTGCTTTTTGCCACCCTCCGCTGGATTTGGGCACTCCTGTTGGGTGGGAAAGGGGAGCCCAAGTTTCCTTTCCTGCTAACCTGGTGTGCCAGTTGTGCCTGGAGTTTGCATCTGCACAGCTCCAGGAGCCAGGAGAGAGGAAGTTCAAGGCAATGGGCTCAGTGCCTCACCTGGTGCATGCTGCTTGGAAGAAGGGGTAATTAACTGTGGAGCTTATTGCCACAAGGTGTTGCAGAGGCTGACAGTTTCACTAGGTTCAGACAATGGTTAGACGAAGCCATGCAGGACGGGTGCATCAGTGGGTTAGAGACATGGCAGGTGCAGGTACAGACTCCAAATGAAGACTTCCCAGGTCTCTAAATACTGGAAGCTGCAAGTGAAGAGGGGCAGGGGACAAGTCTGTCCAAATAAGTTCTGCAGAAACGCACTTCTCACCATCCACTCTGTGAGAGACCACATACGGGACTAGACAGGCTGTGGTCTGACCCAGTAAAGGGTCTTAAATTCTCCCTTGGGCTTGCAGGTGCCGTAAGGAGAACCATGGCCCAGTGCCAGCTGCTCCAGCAGTTTCTGTTTGCATCATGCCAGGGCAGCAGAGTTCCTGGGTTAATCCAGGTGAAAGAGCTATTTCTCTCTTGTCCCTTTACCCTCCCCTTTCCTGTCCCTCCCCCAGGAAGAGCTGCCAGGTTTGTGTATTTGTGATTTTTGCAGGTCTGGGGTGTGATCCACAGTGACCAGGGAGTGGGTACATGCACTGCAGACAGGAGACTTGTCCTTTCAGTAACTAGCATGTGTGTACCTGAGCAATCGTGACCAGAACCTGGCTCCAAAACGCAGGCCTGTGCCGTCTGCGATGAAAGGGATCTCCCATAGGTGTCATCAGTAGACAGCTCCGTACCCAGAGGGTGGTTCACAATAGACTCGCTCTATGCCATATCAGAATTTGCCGCTGCCCTTGGTGGTTTGAGCCGGCTGCAGCTGCTGTGCTTGTGCCGTAGCTGATCCCTGGCTCCAGCACTCTTCTCTCCCAACCCGATTCTGGCTTGCAGGGGCTTTCTGAGGAGCTCACAGACTGGGATTGATCCTGCACAGTGATCTTGTGCCTCGGCCCAAGGTCACCTCCTGCCTTTCCTGGCACGGAGGGGCCCGGGCTGCAGCAGGTGGCTGGTGGCAGAGCCAGCTGCCAGGATCTGAGTGTGATTCCATGATCTGTGACACGTGAGAAGAGCTCCCCAGCTGGGCTGCTCACAGTGGTCCGCTCCTTCCTGCTAAACAGCTAGAGGCAGTGTTCAGATGAGCAGAGGTAGGTGGAAAAAGGATGTGAGGCAGAAGGGAAACCCAGGAACAGGAGAGATCCTGTGGTCCTGTCATGGTGACTGGTGTTTGTGTGAGGGGCTCCTGCTTCCCCTGGCCTCTGCCAGGGTGTGGCTGAAGCATGGCTGCTTTGTGCAGCGTAGACAGACCTGACTCTTGCAACTGGCTGCAGCTCCCCGTGACTTGAGGACACAGTGGAGAACTTGAAAAACTTGATATGTGTCAGAGCCTTGCCTGCTTTTCAGCTGACTGGCCCAGGAGCAAGGTTTGTGCCAGAGCCGGAATGGACCCGCTGGTCCCAGTGCTTAAGATCCCATATACAATGGAAATTTGGCATTCTTTCAGAGCAAGGTGAGGACAGAAGAGTGAGTGTCACAGCTCCAGTGGGGTCTGTGGGTGCAGGTGAAGCAATGCATAAGGGATGGGTGAGGGAGATGCGTGTGGCGTGTGCTGAAGAGAGCCCGGCAGCTGCCGCTTCACTGCACTGCTCAGCTGCGTGAGCTCCTGGATTGATCGGCGCTCCTCGGCTGCGTGCCCTCACATTGAGTCTCTCTCCACACAGAAACTTTATTTTTCTGGCGGAGGAGGATCTGGCTCACACCCCCACGTCCTTACGCTCTGTGAGCTTGTAGCAAAAAAGCCAATCTCGGATCCCTGCCCCTCCTCCGAGATTTTTAAAACCACTTCAAAGTGGAGTTGGCCGAGTATTCAAACAACTGGTTCTTCTGGGTTTGCCTCACCTTTAGAGCTGCTCCCCCACTGAACAAAGGAGAGCATTTTCCTTTGATTCCATATTTGAAAGCAATAGGGGAGAAAATCTGAAATATTCTGCAACTTCTTCTCTTTTTTGAAATGTGCTCAGGTGCCTTCCCAAGGCGCTAGTCTCCAACCAGGGCAGATCGAAGTTCAGCAGACCTCAGGATGGGGACCAGAGGGAGGAGACCTTGGTCACAGAGAAATTAGCCCTCGCCTCTGTCGTAGGCGGGTGGGCACAGCTTTCTAGCAGCTATCTTGATATTTCGGGTCTTTTTTTTCTTTCTCTTAGTGGGACTAGAAAAAGGTCTTCAGATCAGCGCTGGGGTGCTTTAACAGGGCCTAACTCTGCAGCCTGGAATGAGAGGCTTTGGCAGGGGAGACCCCGACTGGCTGCTGGTCAGGATTTGAGGGGCATTAGCAGGTGGAGGCTAAGTGGGGTGCAGAAATAGAGCAGAAGTTCAGGCTGCATAGAAGAGGAGCAGGAGTGGGTGGGATCTGTAGACTTGGATATGTGCACACTGTATTTGGCTGTGCCTGGCACCCGCAGAATTAAAGTCCCAAAGAAAAGGCATAAAACTGCCTCTTCCTCTGACTGCTAGGCATGGCATTGTATTTAAATGCCTTTGCTCTGATGGTTCTGATTGTCTTTAAGCCACATGTGTCATCTTTGGATGGCTGCAGCAAACCCCACATCCCGACTCCCACCCCTTTGCTGTTGCTAATGGGTTTTCTGTGTCACTGAGGAGGAAAATTGGATTTTACTAAGGAAATAACGAAAACCCAGAAGCAAAGCAGGTGCTGGGAAGTAGGAGTGTTTCCTCTGCCCTGGCTTAGCTGGGGCAGCTATGAAAAATGAATCTTTGCTAGCTCTGCACGCTTCTTACCAGGCCCACAGATCCCTGTTTCCCCAGTTATATCCCAGTAGCTGTGCTAATTCCTTTTGCTACTGCTGCATTA